AGGAAAAAACAATAACTCCTGCATGGAGTACAGCATAGAATATATTCAAATCAGTGTAATATATGACCCTTCACAACTTAAAAAAATGACAGCTAAAGAAATAGACAAAACCAGTGAAGATTTACTTCAGGATCATGAAGTCTTTGTTTCTTAATCATTTCTGTCAATTTAATTATGGTAGAGAAGCTCAGGTTATAATTTCAAAACTATCTTAGTGATAGCAGCTGGTGCCTGGGCAATAAGGAGCAATTCATCTTTCTCAAGATGTGAATTTTGCCTCTTGCTCATGCTGTTGTTGGAATCTTTGTAGCCAAATTTATCATCATTTACCTCAACTGCCCCACAGCTTTTCTAAGCCAGCCTGCCAGCAAGGAAAAGGAAATGCTTTCACTTTAGAGCCTTTCGAAGTCTGGACAAAAGCTCACTTTCTGTTCTTCAGGTTTCCTATATAAGGCTTTAGCCTCAAGATGAGGACCTGCTCGCTCTGCACCCTCTCCCATCCCCCATTTCCTGCCTGGGTTCATTAAATGCTGATTTGAAGTTTGCACATGCTCTTTGATACAAAAGTAGTACTGTGTTCCAGGAACCATCAGAAAATAGTGCGTTATTATCTTTTACATTCCCTTCATATGTATGTCCTCTCCCCATGCATGGAAAGGATTTTTATCCCTTTTTCTTAAATATCTACGTGTGTTTAATAAAAAGAAACAGCGAAGCAAAGCCCTCAAAAAAATCTCAGCTCCTTGGGGAGCAATCTGGCCTCAGGCTATACTCTTTAATGCTAGTATCTGCAAATTGCTATTAAGCAAAGTGGAGAATAGAACATAATGACTTCAAAGAATCATTTTCCTATCTCTCATGCTTCTGTTTCAGTACCATGTTTCTCAGGAGAGAACACTTTTCTTTCACCTGAGAAACGATGGTTGTTGTGATGAAATTAATGTGTACCTGTATAGAAGCCTGTATATTTTCCATTTCTAACAGTATAGTTAGTTACTTCTTCCCTGCTATATGAAGCCGCCATAAAAGATAAAAAGAATCATCGAGGCACTGTCTTTCTTCTTTACTTAGAAACAAAGCTCTCAATTCTGTAGAGATAATTGTAAGTCATACCAAGGAGTTAGGTAACCAATCCTTGGGTTGCCTGCGATACCTTCTGTTGTTTAAACTAGTACTTTCTGTATCTTTCATACCTGGTTCCCACTTACAGTCATTTAAAGAGCAATACCGGTTCATTATTACCAGCACTAAAAAAAGAATGAGCCAGGTAATAGCAATGAGACTGAACAAGCCATATTACTGCAACATCTCATTATTTCAAATTATGCTGCAGTTACATAAACAAAGTCATTTTTAGGCTAGTCTTTCCTGAAATCCACTCAAATGAATTGCTGAAATGGGTATCAGCTGATTCCCATCAAGATCAATGACATGGGATTTGATGGCTTTCAGAGAAAATAGCTGTGTCTTTTTGTTTTCTTTGCAACAAAATACTCTCAAATAATATATTTTCCCTTTCTCCAAGTGGGAACTGATTATTACTTGTTCCAAAGTGCTAAATGTAGTAGAAGTGCAAAGATTCATGGAAGGTAGAGGCTAGGCTAATAATGACCAATTAGACCAATATCAGATGTACACTGCTTCTTAGCAGGATTTTAGATGAATTGCCCACCGTACGAGTTTGATGCCGTGAACACGTGCAGTCCAGTTTTCCTCATCTGAAATGCTCCCAGCCAAATGCTCTTGTTTTTCTCTTGCCTCTGGCATTCTGACTCCTTGGTCAGATGATTCAGCCCACTATAGTCACAGGTATTTAACTCAGCAAACCCCACCTCATTCAGCACCTGCAGTGCTTTAGAGAGGTGAGATACAGGATGTGGCCTGTATGGGGTAGAATTACTGTAGTTTTGAGTCCTGGACCTCAGTGGGATTCTCGGTGTACAGAAAGTTAGCCACGTGCATTAATTATCTTGCTGAGTCAGTGTCTTGGTTTATAGTTGAATCACTGCACAAAATAATAGACTACATGAGGGTCTTTTCAATGATTTTGTGGTATTAATGAAGAAAAAAAAGGTTAATTCTTAGGGGCTTGTATTTGCATGAGGAAGCTACTCTGCAGCAAGCTGATGAGTAAAGCTTGAGCCTCAGAAAGTATTTGGCACTGGCTCCCTTGTGACATTCCTTTTCCACATGGAGAATGTCTTTGGGTGATAAACATAGTCATCCTTGGCAGTGGATTAATTAAGATGAGCAAAGGTGTTAATAATGTGCAGCAGAAATACTTAGAGGAGCGGCTAAAGCAAAACAGTTATTTTGAGCATTATCCCTGTATAGACCACTTCTAAGAACCACTAAATTATTGAACCAAATGTTTATTTGGACATAAGGCAGATTAATTATAATAATTCTTTACAATTTGCCACTAAGGCTCTTTAAGTGCCTTGCAAATACTAGGGGAACATTTTAAATTAAAAAAAAAAAAATTTTTTTTCCACTCTTTTCTCACTTGTTTGCATTTCAGAGAATAAAATAAATTCTAAACAATCTCATGTATTTGCTTTGGGGCAGTCTGTGTGTATATATATGTATATACATTTATAGTTTTAATCCACAGCTCTATCCTTGAAGCTTAAAATACTTAATTTTTCCTTTTTAACTATCAGAAAAGAGTTGACAGTCTTAGATGTGTTATCACTGCCTTCATGTAGGGGTGCACTAAAGCACATAGGATTGTGGGTGATCCACACCTGTTGCAATCAACAGGAATTCTGCTTCAGCTTTGGTGGGGCAGGATGGTGCAGTGACCTCTACAGTTACACACCAAGTCAGTGCCTCAGCTACAGATGGGTATCATAATACCACTTCCCAGTTCTGCGTTTTGTCTATTGGGGCAGAAATCCTCAAACTGGTTATATATTTAGTGCACTGAAATCTGAATTCTTATTGCCAGCCATTGAGTCCTAGCTGATACCATGTTAGGAGCTGGTAGTGTCTCATGGGAGACATTCAAGAAAGCCAGTATTTGAAGCAAACACTCTTCAAACCTTGGCTTTGTTTTTATTGGAGGGCTTATTTTATAATTTAAAAACCACTCTTCTCCATGCCTTTTCATTTTAAAATTGATTATGTCTATTTAAAAATTATCTTCGTCTTTCATGGAAGGGCTGTCTTCTCAGATGGCTCATAAATTCAGACACTGACATCAAAGTCTGCTTTCTCTGCTTATATGATGGATTCAGATGCAGAATATGATGGGAATGTGGTAAAAATAGAAAGGCAATTGCTATGACTGAGCATGAAACATTCATATAGAAGTGGAGCATTTCTCTGGTGAGTATTGCAGAGGATTTGTATCACATTAGTCTGTCACAGGTATGGAAATACTCTCCTAAATTTTAAGAATACAGAATAGTATAAATTGAAATAGCCATAAGTGCAAAAGGAGTGAGCACCTTTTCTTCCAAATATCATCGTACCTGATGAGATCTGTGGTGAAAGCATGTAGTGTAATCTTAGCCCGTTGTTATATTTTCAGTTTCGTAACAAATGGTATCACAAACAGAAAACAGTTCATCTGTACTCCATCACTGGAACCATCGGTCCTAACAATGGTAGTAACTGAGAAAAAATAAATTTCTTGTTAATATTTTTAATATTAAAGATTTCCAGTGTTGTGCTGGCCTGTGTATCCAGGTCTGAAATGTACCCAGGGGACGGGCCGCTCAGGAGGGAGCGTGCGCCAGGAGCGATGCGGTACGGGACAAGGGTTGGTGCGCAGCTGCCGGTACCGCGGGTTGCAGCAGCAATCCGGCTGAGGTGCAGCCCCTCTGCTCTCGCGTGAGCATTTCTAACGTCCCCATCCGTGAGGGAACACGTGGGACAGCAGGAGAAAGATGTGTGATGTTACGTGCTGGGCAGGGACTGGAATTAGAAGTGTGTGATTGAGTTCCCGCCCCAAAGTGGCAAGTGGTATAATGCTGAATTGAATGAAGATTTCATTTATTTTGGTTTTCTGCTAACTCTTGGTCCTTCTTTGAGGCTGGGCTTATAGCTGTGCATAGGAGAGAGAACTGATCCCAGTTTCCAGCTCACTCTATTTTGAGATATTGCTTAGCCAAGCCTTAGTTCCAGAAAGGGAAGTATAAACAAATTCTATTCCACAATTATCTTTCACCAGCTCTTAGCAGTCTGTTTGTTAGAGGGTTTACTTAGAAGAACAGATAAATGAGTACATGAAACATTTTATCATGCTAAAAATACCACAAAATAAAAAGCACTGCAGAGCTTCATCTCTGGCCTTCATATGAGAAGGCTCTGTCCAGTTAGGAAACAAAGGTGGAACTTGCCCCAGGTGCATCGAATATAATCTTAGGTTTTCTGGGAATCAATCCTACTTCTTTATTTTCAGAGCATATATTTTTCTGTGTAAATGATCTGAGGACACTGTCATAAATCTAGTTGTTTGGTGTGTTACTTAGAAAACAGTGAAGTTCTGGGCCTAAAACTGCTGACCAAGAAATGTTCTGCCAGCAAGACTTATTGTAATTTATATTTCTAAGAGAAATCAAAGGCACCAGTGGAGGCTTCTCTCTATTTCTGTCATCATACCATAATCCAATTACAAGGTTCCAAGTTCCAAGCATATTTCCATCCAAGTTTTCACCTACAAGAGAGATAAAAATGATGTAGAATAAAAGTTGCATTCATCTCTAATTAATACTTATGATATTAACCATAATTAATGGGTAACTTCAGAGTTGAAATGGGATGAGGAAAATACTGGGATCCAAAGATTTTCAGCTCTCTTCCTCTCTTTCCTAGCCTCCAATCTAAAATGGAGTTGTATGAGAAGCAGTAGGATGGCTAGGGAGGATGAGCAGTAAAATCTCTGACTCCAAGCCCTCCTTGGATCAGATGAGGTCCCACACGGAATGTCAGTGTGTCTAATACAAAGAAATAATTTGATTTGTAATCATTTATTTTCTTCTCTTCATTTCCAGCTTCAGAGCCTAATTTGAAGGTACGTTCAAGGTTAAAACAAAAGGTGACAGAAAGGAGAAGCAGTCCTTTACTCAGGAGGAAGGATGGAAATATCAGTTCATTCAAGAAGAGACTCTTTGAGGTGACAGGTAATTAAGAATGGAGAAATTCTGTATCAGCTGCAACTGCTCACAGAATAACGGTGGTATTTTGGAATTGAAACTGCTAAACAAAAGGGTTTTGGTTGGTTGGTTCGTTGTTTTTTTCTGCTGCTGAAAAGAAAACCATCTTAAACAAATAGTTGTGTATAAATAGCTTGTAATCTACAGCTTTCTACCACTTACCAAAAAGTCATTGTCAGTTTGCACCCAAGTTCCCAAACAGCCTAAAGTCCTCTCATTTTTAGTCCTTAGTATTAGTATGCTGCCAAGGCCTTATCTGTTTATTTGAAATAAAAGAGCATTTACAGTATTTGGCCTCATTCTGACATTTATTGCTTTGACTTTGCATCAATATTTGGTAGCTTCATGGCTTGTTCAAGTGATGTTACAATCAGGCCATATGTTTATGCAACCAACTGTTACTAGTCTGTCAGACTTGTATCTGAATTCACTCAGTATACCAGAATTAATGTGACACCAAGATAGAAATATAACAAAACATGAACAAATTCACATCGGTGTCCCCATACATGCAGCTCTCGTGACAACTTTTCACAGTATGTCATATGTAAAACTGGGACATGGATGTGAATGTAACTGTCAAAGTAACTAAATAAGGTAATTTCCCCATAAATTATTTCCAGATTAGAATTTTTGCAACTAATTTATTATTTTCATTTGCTGAAGCTCTTGTGAGATTCTTGATCTCTACTTCCTTAGTTTTAGCCGATTTCTTTCTATTTTGTACGATCACAAATAAGGTATAAAGTGAATTACTTATCCCAAGAGTTTTTTCTGCAGCCATTGAAAGAGCAGGAACCTGAAAAATAAATGTATTCTCTTACTAGCTCTGACAATAATTAGGAGCCTTACAGATTGCCATTATAATTATCATTATCAGTTATATGACACTTTACATCTTTCATAATCAAAACTTCCCTGATCAAACATTGGCTGAAGCCTTTTTCTCCTTTTTTTTTTTTTTTTAATTCTTTTAACGGAAAATAGCCCTTTATTTAAATGCTTATTTATACAAAAAATGGTATTGTAATTTTTAAAAAACTGAGGAGAAAAAAAAAGTTTGTGTTTCTGCTCTTCCATGAAAACTAGTGAGAATACGATACAACAACTTTACCTGACCAGTTAGTATAGCTGGGTATGGATTCACTTCAATAAATCGGTCAGCTCTAGTAGGAAAGAGTAACAGGTCCAAGAAACAGCTGGGAAATCTCCCAGTAATTTCAGTCAAACTGAGGAGATATTTTTGCATGTGAACTGAAGCAGAGAGTAAAGAAGCAAAGAAGTGGCTATAGAATATTTACTGCCACATTTAGATATTAATTATTTTAACATCTTGGGTACTTTACTTTGAAAGCTATCCCATGACATAGGCTTACCTCTACTATTTCTGCACTCTTCCATCTTTATCCTTGTTAACTGTTTCCATTACATAAATTTAATTTATATTAGTGTAGGATTAGAATAACTCAATACAACATGCAATGGGATCATCCTCTTCCCTTTTACCTTTGTCAGAACTCGGGAAATTTTGAATCAAGATAACATGCAGCCTTTCAAATGCTATTTTAAGATTTTTGTATGCTGTAAATATTCCTTCATATTTGTGCCAGATATGTAGTGAAAGTGGTGTATATTTTGCCGTTATTACTTGCATATGTAATGATTAGTTCATAATGGGCAGTAGGCCTCATGAATTGATGACATGTTATCATGACCTTTGCAAGCCTGCTATCTCTGTCATTTTGCTCTCTTACATAGGTAGAACTCTTTGCAATTAAAAAGAAAATACTTTTTTTCCTTTTTACTTACTGTGAGTTCTATGTCTGTATCTCTGCCTGATACTGATACACCATCTATGTGGGAAAATAATTAGTAAATTCTTCCTTTGTGAAGCAGACAGATCAGAGGGGAAAGAGCAAGAGTATCTTTCCTTGTTAGCACTGTAAAAGGAAAACCAAAAGAAATGGAGGATGAATTAAACATCTTTAACGTAAGTAAATAGTATAACCAACAGATACTTTGCAACAGCAAAAAAACCCCTGTGCCATGAAGAGTATACAAGCAATCAATATTATGTGTTCCCTTCCAGTGTGAAATTCATGTATGCTTACTATGTTTTTCAGAATCCTCAGTCAGTAGCAGCTCACCTGGATCAGGTCCCAGTTCCCCAAGCAATGGTCCGACCAGCAGTATAACAGAAAATGAAACCTCAGTTTTGCCATCTAACATTCAAGCTGAGGTAAGACTTTTTATTGGGTAGATTTTTTGATTGGGTAGATTGCTCATATTTCTAGACTGGAAAGATTTGAAGCTTCAATTTGACTATACTTGCAAGCAGAGTAATTGCAGAAGATACAATTATCAGGGATACCAGGACACTGCAGGTTAACATCTGAGTATGTTGTGTATGAGATACATCTTCATATATGAGACTCATGTTCAAGAGGCTGGCATATATGAGGTCCATGTTCAGGAGACTCTTTGGTAACAAAACTCCAAACAAAAGCAGCAGTAATGCTACTGGGAGAGTGGGAGGGAGCTGTGGAAGGAACTTGTAAGCATCTGTGCTACAGAACATTACCTTCTGGGATATCCTGAGGAGGTGCAGAGCGCTGAATGCTGATGGAAGAACTTTCAGTGCAAAAGAGTGATTTAGGCATTGGTGACCCTAACACATATGAGTTAAGATGGTCTCAGGTTCAGATGGCTGCTGAAGAAGATTTGTTTAATTATAGTATCAGAGTTAGGTGTCTAAATCCTTTTTCACATCTGCCTTTTATTTTTATGTACCTCGGTTTCCTTATCAGGGCAGTATTTACCAACAGAACTGACAGGCCGGGAGTCTTGGATACTTGTTTTGTAGAACAAGATTGTACATGGAAGGACTCTTAACTACTCCTTATTCTGTTTCATACATACGTGCCTATAACAACAGGAATGCAGACGGTAAATCAGTTGTGATAAACCTCATTTAGCATAGATCACATGCATAAATCATGCTTTCCATGGCAATATTGCAAAGGGACAATAAACTAATGCAACTAAGAAAGAATCATATTCCACAATATTCTGTGCCCAGTGCCTATACTTTCAGAAATCACTGCTTTGGTGGCAAAGTTTTCTATTAATTGTTGCTTTATACTGTTTATGTTATAAAAATTGCATAAGAAAATGTGATTTAACAGAATTTTAGCTAATGGAGCTATTTCTCCAGGTCAGTGGCAGGACATTCACCTCAAAAAAACCTGGAATGGGCAGTTCAACCTCCAGCAGTGACTTTTCCCCATAATGAATTAATTGTGTGTGTGAACTATGATCCAGGGGGCAGGTGGGTGACCTCTGCACACTGATTAGTAGCCTCTCTCTGGCCCGTAACCAAAAAGAAAAAAAAATTGCATTGATGGCTAACATGTGGTCTTGCCTCATAGCCCCCATGTATATGATTGCAAAGAAATTTAAACAATGCAGAGTAAGATCCATCATTTGGATTAGATCAGATCATAGTTCAGTGGAATTAGATGGCATATTTTAATATTGTAAATGTTTTAGATAGAAGTTTGTAATATGTAAGTGTTAGTGCTGTATTAAACAGGAAATATTGTCCAATTGGATCTTTCAATGACTTGGGGATAGTACAAAATGCAAAGGGAATGCCTCAGACTGATACACAGTGCTTGTTACTTTGCACGTTATAGTTTCTAGACATTTGCCCACAGTGTTGAACCACCATCAGAAAAGCATCTGGTCAGGCTGGCAGTCTCTGTTTGGGGAGATTTGGAAAGGTTGTAGCAACAACCAGCACAGTCACATTCCTTTTATCAATAGAATACCACATTGCATATTATTTGCCATTACTCTGCCAGACATTGGAAGTTAGGGCCCCACCATACAATCACAGATGCTCAAATGAGCCTAAAAAGTTCCATTAGAAGTTGAGCTCTGCATGCTGAAGTCGGTCACTTAGCTCACTGGAAGTGTGCTAAGAAGCTGAAACTACAGAATTCCATTTCTGGATCCAGTTGGGGATTTCTTTACCTCTCTGGTTATTTGACTCATAATACTGTGGTCCTGTGGGCTCAAACATTTTTCCATAAATCTCAGCTTCAATGTCTTTTCATTTCAGTGGGATTTTCTTTGGTAGTTTAACAGCAGCCAAACTCCAACATGTCTCTTTTCTAGTTTAGCATTATCTGCCAGCTCTCAAAGGCTATATATCTAATCAATTTTTCATCAGATACATGAAGTACAGAAGTTCCTAATAATAGGATAAGTGTTCCAAAATCCCCCAAAATATCACTTGTTTTGCTGTAATCCCGCATGACTCACATTGCTGTTGTTTCATAATTGTTGTTGTGACATTTGCAGTAAGTGTTGTGCTCATATCTGAGTGGGTGGATAGCCGCGGTTTTCATGGCAGCAAATAAAACACTTTTTGCTCAGAGAAAACAGGTTGCTATGACAGAACACCATTTACCAGTAAAACATGAGTCAATACTGTAAGTGATTACACTCTAGTGCATAGACAGAATTAGAGCATTATCAGTAATGAAACAGATTTTTAAAGTATTTTTGCCATAACAATTTGAATAGTGAGACTTAAGTGGTTTACCCTCCAGAGCAGACTGTCTGGTGGATAGACATTTACATTTTTTTGAATGAACAAAGGTGTGCTGCAAATGCTACATTTTTGCAGATAATTTTTACTATCACAGTTCTCTTAATGGTACTTTCAGTACCATTTGTTAAAACACTGGTCTCATATGAAACTTGAAAGTTAAACTTTGGACTCTAATTGCACCTTATAAATGAAATGCTGTTTTTATTAGGCCCAGTTGTCTCCAGTATCATCAAGGTTCACTGCAGTAGCTATTTGTCTCTTGTAGCGCACCATACACTTTCAGGTCACCTCCTGTGCTGGGGCTAAATCTTACTTACATGAGAGGTGCAAGCAGGATTGAGCCCCTGCACAGCACGTCCCTTGAGTTCAGAGGAACAACCTGCCTTGTGAAATGATTAATTTTAGGCATTCATGGCCTGGTCAAAAGCCATTGAAGGCAATGGAAAGTTTCCAGTTGTTGTAAGTGGGCTTCAGATTATTTCCTTTCTTTCATTTGTGCTTTGGAGAGCAGCATTTCCTAGAATATCACTTGATTATACAGGAGACATAAATGATATGCATGGCAGATAAGCATACACTTGATTTGTGCAGCCTTACAGCACTGTGTTTCTAATACTCAGATCCTTGAAGTGCTCTTTGCAAGTGGCTAGTGGAAAAATGTGTAGGTTTCTGTCCAACTGGTTTGCTTCAAGTGTGTGTGAAGAGAGTCTAATTAAACCCACCTCAAAAGCCTTAAGAAATAAGAGTGTAAGTAATTGTGAATATTCAAAGCTATGATAACCTTACTGTAGCTCCACAAATGAGAAGCATTAAAGCCAAACCATTTCCTCTTCCCCTCCTAATGTATAAATGTGTATATAAACATGTACACATGAAATAGTTGTTCCTGCTTCTCAAAACGTCCCAGTAGCACAACATAAGTACAATAATCAGTCATGGTTACCTGCTGCTGATTGTCCACTGTTACATTTAGCTATTGCACTCTATTTTAAGAAAGAGGGTAACTCTGTAGCCAGGCTGTTTTAAGCATCAGGAAGGAGGATCCATGGACCCATTAAGTGTATAGAGGAGCAGGCAGGGCAAGTTGTTTAGGGGCCAATCCAAACCATCAGGTCTGTATGTAGGATGAGGACTGTGGCTTAGCCATTGTGCTGCCAAATGACACTGCTGGCAACTCCACCATTTCAATGTACTGTCAACTGTATAAAAAGAGAAGCTGCAGGTGGGCTACTAAACTTATTCTGGGAGGTGAGATTTAACTGATACTTAGGCTAATAATACTTGAAAGTATTTTAAAAATTCAGTAACTTACCAAAATGAAAATGACTAATTATTAGGAGTATTACAAATTGGATGGAAATGCTCTTACTAATAAACTCCTGTTTTCAACATTAAACTTCCATGGTACATAACGTGATTGATTCTGCCTCATGACACAATCATGCCTGACCTTAATGTGGGAATGTGTTTTACTTCTATACACCCTGTCACAGTTATGTTTGTTAATTCAATTCTTAGAAGGTAATAGTACCATACTGAAAACCAACAAGGAAACATGCATTTTCAAAGTGGCTTTGTATAGATGCTGCAGTTGCTACAAATTTGACTGTGTTCTAGGAGGCATATTAAAGCTGCTGCAGTGTCCTTGTTCAGTTAAATCTTTCTAGTCTTCCTCAATAATATCTCCATAGTCTTGGCATAGTTGGTTTTATTCTTGGTCAAAGGTGGATGTTATCAAGGCAAGACACTGTTAGCTAAGAATTAATGTAATATACAAGTGAAGTTTCTTTGTCTCGTATGCTATCTGTTGACATTCCCTAGGTACCAAAAGAAAATTACAGAGATAGACTTCTACTGTTATTGTCTCAGTGATAGGTCGTATCTCCAAACAAACTGTATGAGGAAGGTTATGTTTTGGAATAACATCCTGTGTTTTTGTGCTTAACTGGTTTTCATTGATGGTCTGAAGTTGCATTGTATTAGCACAAAGTATTTTACAGAGTTAATTGATATTCCAGGTTTGTCCAGGGGAAAATCTACAGCTCCCCACAACATGCTTGACAAGTTATTATATTTACTTTAGTCAAAGCCCGAGTGTGCAGTATCCCTCTTGGAGGTGGTCTATTATTGGAGTCCCATATGCTTTTTGTTTGGGAAGAAAGCAGTCACTGTGTCATACTGTTACACAGGGTATTCTTTTTCAAGGATGTTGTTCCCTTGGGGACCATATCATGCCAGAGTTCCTAAGTCTAATAAGACCTTTGTAGCTCTTATTGTGTTAAAGTTCTGGGAGGGAAGCAAGAGTTAAACAGAGAATGTAATTCAAGCAACTATACTAGACCACATGTTGAAAAACATGACTGTTAAAATAGAAAGGCAAAGGCTTCAAAAAGATTCCTGTTGTGGTAATGTAACTTTTTATGTTTCTTCCCAATGAATCTAGAATGGAAAGACAGAGGGTGATCTTTGTAGAATGTCTGGGTTTACTTGACAGTAATTAAAAATATATTAGCAGTGCCATGTTACTGAAAATTATATCACAAGGCTTCAAAAGAAGTGTTAAAGATTTTAACTTGAAGGATATTAGGAAGGCTGTGAGGAGTATCCCACCATCAGAGAATGACAGAATGCTGGTTTTGTATATATGCATAGAGAGAGAGAGAGAGAGAGAGTAGATTTTTTTTAAATGGCAGATGTGGCAATCTGCCTCACTTTCTGTGCAAAATTCCCATCTCAGTGGAGGTGAATAACATGCCTGAAACATCCCCCTACCACAATCTGGGTAAGAAAATACATGGATAAGGTAGAAACCACATTTCATACCTTACAACAAAAATTATAATAACCACGGTAAAGTAAAGGTCTAATACATCCACGTTCGTGACACATTTGATTCGGCTAGATATACTCCTTCATTCATTGGCTAAATTCCCACTGAGTTTCTAGTAGTGAAAGTGCAGTTGCTGAGAAGAACGGGTATTGAGCTGATGAGAAGTTAATAAGAAGAGATAGTCTAGGAATCCTCAAGTTTTTGGTTTTGCATTGAATTTTGATTTACTAACCAAGGAATAATCCCAGACATGTATGAGTTCTTTTCTTAAGAAAAGAAATATCAACAGCTTTTTCACAGGTACAGTACTTTTCCTTATCTGGAATCCCATCAGGATACAAACCAATGCATGATATATAACTGGCTTTCAATGTAGCAGGATAATGAGGATAAAGATAAAGTAACGATGACAAAAAGCTTGGAGATTACACTTCTGTGGTTTTTCCCCTTTATTCCAGCATCTGGTTTCACAGCAGCGCCTTCTGATACAGGATGAATCGGTGAACTTGTTGAGTCTGTACACATCCCCTTCTCTGCCCAACATTACCTTGGGACTTCCAGCAGTACAACCTCAAATCAGTGTAAGTGACCAGTCTCAAGCCTTCATGTCTACTTTTGCTTCTGGAAAACCTACTTTCTGACTATTCTCTTTGGTTCTTTTAGCATTTTGGAACATAAGCAATTCAGGGTAGGAACCAGACCTTTCTTTGCATTGGGCAACATCTGAACATTTAAGGGCACAACTTGAAAGCAATAATCAGTCTTAATTTCACATAAATAAGTGCCAGTGTGCCAGTGTGGAGCTTAGCTAAGTATGGGCCACATGCATTGCATTTACGTCTGCAAATTACATAACAGATTTCAGACATGGTGACAAGTGTATAAGGAGATAATTCAGTGTAAAAGTTCAAATTATAGGATCATCCCTACCTGGTTAAGTACAGCATCTGTAACTTTTTATGAGATTCTATTAGCAACCTAAGGTGGGCTGGATCACAGTAGGGGAAGAGTCTAGTATTTCTGCAGCTAGGTTTGTTATTTGAGGGGTGTGCTATCAGTCAGAGAAATAAAATCATTGATATGTGAACAAAGCTTAATATTTTAATGACAAGTTGTGTTCATATGCCCTTTGTTCAGTCTGCAGCAATCACCTTTAGAGCTAAATGATAAATTAATATGTGAAATATATGTAAACACAGACATGATATGTATGAAAATCCATGCTGATGGGTAAGGAGCTTTAGATCTAGACAAAATTACAGTAACCTGGAGGTGAAATCTGAGGCTCAGAAAAATATCTGAAAATTTTGCCACTTTTCAAAACCTACCTTTTCTGAATTCCAGCCAAAAAAAAAAAAAAAAAAAAAAAAAAAAAAGTAAAATACTGATATAAGTTATATGGTGATTCTATACAACAGTGTATAAATGCTGAAGAAATGTTAGCAATTTAAGTTTCTTAGAACAGGAATTGGTAACTTCTATAAAAATACTAGGGGTGTAAGTATAGTTTTCCATGGTGTAAAAAAAATGTAAATGCATGCAATCCACTATGGTTTGTAAGAAGTGCTACTTAATTCCAGTGGTAAATGTAGTTTCAAGTTATTTTATGGATTTTTCGATACTTTTACCGTTCTCACCAATAATACACTGCTGCAGTCCAACATTTTAACATCAGATATGGAACTTTGCAAAGAAGATTGTGTAAGTTTTAAATCAGTTCTCTAGAAGCCTTTCATGAGATATTTATAAGCAAATTATTGTTTTTAAGGGATGGAAAAATTTAACTGATCATGAAAAGTAGTGCTTACTTTCCAGACGATATCATCAAAAATTTCGTAGCTATTTCACAAAAAATATAACTAGCTTCAAAGCAATTTTATGACATTAAAATGGAAATGAAAATATTTTTCATTTTCTCACTCAAATCATACGAGCTTTTGATGTGGCTAGCTAGAACCAAATATTACTTTTGGCATTAGAAAAAAAAAAAAAGGAGTTGATTTATGCAAGTAATGTTTATTTCTGTTAGCGGAATAAGCAATTGCACATTTAATGTGAAGTTTACTTTGGTGTTTGTTTTTCATGGAAGAGTGATAGCAGGGTGTGAAGTAAGCATACACCCAAGAAATATTAGTGAAAACCTTGATTTACCTCATTAGAATTTATGGAATTTAGATTATCAGAGATACTGTTTTTACCCTGACATACCATAAGCGGTTATCTTCAAGCCTCAGTATGTTTATTTCAGTTACATTAGTATTCCTGCTGTAAACAATTGTTCTACTTTAACTGCTGTTTTTTTTTTTTAAAATATATAAACTAGACAAAGAAGAAAGAAATATAAAGTACATTTGCAATCCTGAAGGGCCAAAACTTCCAAAAGCTTCAATTTAATAACTGTGCAATTTATACGGGCACTTTAAAATGCCATACACATACAACAGCTGTTGATGATTCTGTAGATGAGAGTTTAACTGTAGAAATTTACTTTGCAAAGGATAAAACTTACATTTGTGCTGTCCTTCAGGGAGTCAGGGAGTGCTCCAGGAAAAGTAATAGCTTCCCACTACTACAGGTAATTACTTTGTTTTGCTGATTGGCTTGCTATCTAATGGAAAGTTATATGAAAAAACAAGCCTTGCCTCTTCCAATCTCAATGGAAACTATTTCCTCTGATCCCCTATTTTCCTGTGCAGGAGGCTGTGGGAAGGTATTTAGGAATTTTAAGGATAGGTCCTGTCTTTTCATTAATAATTTTCTAACTAGTAGTTCCTTATGCTTTGGCTTTTTATTACTGATTTTTTTCAAGTGGTCATTACTCAGTTTCTCACAGTGTTACATTTAACTGGCATGTTCTTCCCCCCTTTTCATCTCACCATCAAAGTATAAGATGGGGATGTTAACCTTTTCTTCTGTGTGTATTCGTGAAGTATGACATAAAACCATCTAATCAAGTGGAGATATAAATGGCCAGGTCTATGAAAAGCAGTTACCAGTGCCATTGTTCTTTGACAGGCTTCATCATCGTTCAAAGAAAAGCAGAAGGGGGAGACCCAGTCGCTCAGACAAGGAGTGGCCTTGGCTGGACAGTATGGGGGGAACATTCCTCCGTCCTCAACTCATCCTCACATTGCTTTGGAGGGAAAGCCAAATAGCAGCCACCAAGCTCTCTTGCAGCATCTGTTACTGAAAGAACAAATGAGACAGCAAAAACTTCTTGTGACTGGTAATGATCAAGGCTTCAACACAAAAATAATTTAAGATGTTTTTAATGACATTTGTATTCATATTGAACTAAATACAGATACTGTACATCCTGACAGTTGGGAAAAGTGGCAGGGTGGGAGAAAAAAGGACAGCATCTTTGTTTTCCCCTTTCAGTGATTCTGCTCCTGTCTGTTAGCTTGAAAGAATTCAGTGATTACAGAAAAGAGAAAATGATTACTTCATCACATTCTTTTGCAGCTGCTGAACTTCCCAGCATGGCGAGGCACGTGGTACATGTCCCACTGCATCAGCGCTGATGCAAAGTTCTGCAATACACACACCTCTTCTTGCTGAAAGCTTTCTCTCCTATTAGAACTATTAGTTTGTTGTTCTTCAGACGGGAGTGAAATGTCCCTGTTTTGCAGGAGCGGTTCCCCTTCATCCACAGTCTCCTTTAGCAGCGAAGGAAAGAGTTTCACCTGGCATAAGAGCTGCCCACAAACTGCCTCGTCACAGGCCACTGAACCGAACCCAGTCAGCTCCTCTTCCTCAGAGTACTTTAGCCCAGCTGGTAATCCAGCAGCAACATCAGCAGTTTTTGGAGAAGCAGAAACAGTACCAGCAGCAGATCCACATGAATAAGGTGAGTTCCCAAAGTAAGGAATTTCCAGTAAACACAAAGATTGAAAACTAATAAGGAAGTTTAGGTAATTGTGCCATGTGGTCATGGGCAGTAGACATGTTCTTGCATGAGCATCTTGTTTATGCATACTTGGTGTATACATTTGTATAGATCTTCATTTTCAGCTTCTGAAATATGCTACAAAGGTCATTTGTTGTTCTTGACATCAGTAAAAATACAAATCAACAAAATAGGGTTGAAAGCATCTTAAAGGTTTAAATTGCAGGTTTCCTGTTGAAAGATAAATGATGCTTTAAAGATTACTTGATTTCTATCCAACTCTTTAATGTGCACTTTTAAGCTTCAGCAACCATTCCATTCAGCTGCCTTTCAATTGTATTTTAAGCTTTATCACTGTGGACTAGTATTTGGAGTAATAACTCATTTGAATTCAGATCAGCTGATTAGATTTGTCTTTTTTGTGTAAGAAACTTATTAAACATCTGGAGAAATTTTTAATCAGCTTTTATCAAACCAACTTTTTCTTTCTAAGTCAATTATTAACATGAAAGTTTGTTACTTATATGGTGATACAAAATTACCATATAAGGAGAAAGAGAAGAATGTGCTATTGCTTACATCAGATACAGAGTTCAATTGTGCCCCTCATTCCCTGTAGAGTAGTACCATATTCTGAGGATGGAAAAATAAGAAAAGAGACCATCCATTAATAAACAAAGAGCAGCAGAATCTAAATAGATTTCTCAAGAGCTAATGCTTCTAGAACAATTGTTATGCTGTTCCCTGCTCTAAAATGAAGATGTGCAAGTAATTAAATGCTTTTATCTGGAGAACTTTTTTCTTCACTTACTACACAGCTTTCCAAAAGTTGCTTGCTGGAGCTCTTTTATTAATTCAAAGATATTAATCATGCATCTTTAGTTGTCTTCTTTTGTTTGAGGGTTACTTAATAACTATATATAAGAGGCAGTGACAAAGAAGAAAAGATGAAAAGCAGGCATTCGGCCCTTGTACCTAAGAGAAAATAAAATCAATCCACCTTACTGGGTGAACTTCCCAGGGGGTACTGATTCTTTGGAATCTACTAAGAATTCCCAACAAAATTAGAAACAAACCTAGAGTTTAAGTATATAGTTTGTACAGTGGTTTGGTTATTAAATCTTGTCTTAATTAGGAAAAATGAAGACCAGAAAACTTCAAAGTTCAGAGCTGATCCTTGTATGTTAACCCCTCTCAGCTTGGGTGTTTTGATTACTCAACTAGGACTCCAGTTGGCTTTTCTCTGAGTATGCATTCCATATGTTTAATCAAGATGGTATATGTATATCTCGTAGCCTCAGGTTTTGAAGATATTTCACCTGCCCTCAATTGTCTGAAGAGAAAAGAATTTTTACCAGTAAAGTACTGAGTCTTTGTGCTGTTTATAGGTATTTACTACAAACCGATCAGTTCATGCATTCCTCACAAAGCAAAGAAACCCACTGACATGTTTTTGTTAGATCATATGCTTATTGACATAAATTCTACCATAGCATTTGGGGATATGTGCTGTGGCATATAAGTACATTTGTCCTCAATATGAAAATTAAACTCAAGTCACATAAACGTATTCCTAGTCACATAGAAATAAGAATGCATTGCACCTCACAAGAGCTAGGAAGTGAAAAGACTGCAGTTGTTTTGGATAATGCTTGTTTCAGTAACATTTTTTTTCTGAGTTAAACTGCAATGAAAATATATGTTCAGGAGAATAATTCCTTCTCATACTTGAAATACGCTTTCATTTGAACATGGTTATTTGTGATAAAAAGACAGAACAATTCATTCTTTTAAAATCTAGTGAACCTAGCTTTTATTCTCTACAATACAGGCTATACACATATGCAGATAGTAGAAATTAAAGTTTAACCTAGGGCCTTTCGCTGCCTTGAACCTCCATAACCTAATTCCTTTGACCCAATAGCTTCTCAGTCTCCTTTATCCCTACTCCTACAGCAGTTAGCCTTCATCAGAAGCATAGTAACTCATCAAAGCAGCAAACACCTAGGGAGAAATAGGATTGTTCTGCAGCCACGGAAGCAGTGGATTGAGTGAGGATGTGGGTGGTTTATCAGGCTTTACAGTTTGCAGCATCTAGGTTCTTCCACAGACCTGTTCTCAGAAAAACCGTTTTGATGAATAGTATTAAAAAATGCCAGTGTTCTAATCGTGTATCTGTCCTCTGCAAGTATACACAAACTGAGGAAGCTTTCTTAAAAGGAAAAGCCTGATTTTTAAAAACTGGAATTTAAGGGTAGTCCATAAACAAGAGAGTGAGAAAAGATCAAATCATGGAGTGGCTTTAAAGTACTGAATTTAAAACTATATACTTTAATCTTTAACTTAAAGGTTCAGATTGAACACCCGTGCCTACATAAGGTTTTTGAACTCTGCTAGCATGGTGGAATATACTTTGTTCAATCTTAGAACTTCCCTCTATTTGCAGTTGAAGTTACTTGTTCATAATGTAATTTGCATGGCTTTACAAACTTAAACTATGCAAAGCAGAGTTATCTGAACCTTCAAACAGTAGACCATGTAGCAAAGCAACGCAATATCTTCTCATTTCCTAGAACAAGTTTTGGGCATTTATCAAGTGAATATGTGCACTTGTTATTTTCATTGTTCTGTCCCTTACCCTTCTGTTCACAGGCTTTATAATGAAATCTGCACAGAAGGATAATTCCTTCATTTTCAGTCATGAAAAATGTAGGGGTTTTTTTAGTAAGAAATACTCAAACATTCTCTTAAAAGAGAAAGACCAGAACCAGAAGACAAGACTATGAAATGCCAGGTGGTCAAGAGCTTAGAACATGTTAATATTTTCTTTTCTTTATCATTTCTCCTTCCTTTTTTTTCCTGAAGTACTTAAGGCTTTAATATAGTTCAGCTGAACCCAGTATTTTAATGTTTGCCCTAAACTAAGATGATACAGCATGTGTCAGCCTTCCCTGAAAACTGGTTTTGGTCAGATCTTTTTGGTGGACGTATAGGTGAATCTTGCTGTAACAACAAAAAGAGGAAGAGAGGAAATTTCTCCCCACCCCACTGATTTTGTATTTATATTGTATTAACAGCCATTCCTTTTCTTTTAGAAAAGACTATACTTCAGCAGCAAGCCAGTGTTGCTGTGAGGGTGATAACAAGCAAAATCTTACACAGGTCAGAGGTAAAGAATTCCCCTGGATCATTTCCATTCTGAAAAGAAACAAATCATTGCCAAGAGGTGTGCCTCTGTCCTTAATAACAAAAAGAAGATCCCCTATGGATTATTTCTGGTCAGCTGTCAGATGCCAGGCTTTTGATGTGGGAAACGGTATATGTCTCCACTGAAGTCTGACATTTATACCTGTGGGATCTAGTACGCTGACCTTCTCAAAACATTCTGCAAATGTTGACATCCCATCCAAAAGTAGGTAGAAGCCCTCATCCCAGCTTTCCGGGGAAAAAATAATAATGAATGTGACGTAACCTGAACTCCGCTTGTCTTGGGGAAGATTGGCTTTGCTGTTGTCAGCTTTAATATACTTCTGTCCACATGACAGCTTATTTCCTCATAAGACCCTTTGATCACCATTGCAGATCTTCATTCTGCTCAATAAATGCAGTCCAGAGTCTAAAACCCCCAGTTAAAATTATTGCAATCAGGTACCGAAAGACCATTATTACTACAATAAAAGCGTTAAAATCTTGGTGTTATTTCTATATCTCTATGTCTAGAAAGCCTTGACCCCGGCACTTGCAGAAAAAAGGGTGATCTTGACGTAAGTAATGTAAGTACAAAGCCCCTAGAAGAAGTCTGCATTCAAGAAAATCTCAGAAATCATAATGTGAAGAGTACACAAACAAAGCCTTCTGTCTTTAAAGGTTATTTTTTATCACGTGTGATGAATAAAGACCTGCTTCCACTGAAGCTAAACTATCACTGGCACCAAGATTTTATTTGATCAGTGTGAGAACCCTACATGTGTTCTTAAAATAACGTATTTATAGCATTCTGACAATTCCTTTTCAATGGTAAAATCCTCCTCTGTATTGGAATAGTAAAGGTGAAAATAATGGGGCCGTTGGTAGTGTGTACTAAAGTATGGGAGCAGTATGGCTAATGTTAAAGCTTAGGTAAGGAGTACCTGAATTCCAGTTTTCATCCAGAATGTTAATTGGTTTAAAGCATCCTTGTATAGGGAGCCAGTGACTGGGCAAGACTGTGAGGTAAAAGCTCCATGACAAACAGTACATAGGAAGTGAAAATTTGTTAGTGCTGTGGATGATGATCATAATTGACCAATATATGTTAATTAAAAATGAAAAATAATGTGGAAGTTTCTGTTGATTTATTGATGGAAAAAATAGGATTATTATTTGTTGTCAATAGAAATATCAAAAAGATACCATTAACCCCAGATTAATCGATCACTTCTCTGAATGGTATTTAATTAAATACAGATTCAGCCAGAGTAAATTAATCTAGTGTCATTAAACATATTACAACCGAGGTTTTGGCTTTCCATCTTACACATCTGACTAGCATCTTCTGAAGGTGAGACGTAGCACATTTCTTCTTTCAAATATTGCTTGTAGTAGGGAATTATTTGCGCAAAACTGTAGCAACAGTTGACTGTGTTTGGAACTGAAAAATGCCCAGAGCAATTTCTCCTTTATCAAGAACTAATGTTTAAGCCATAATGCAGAAGAACGATTTTGAAAGATAAATTCATCTCTTAGAAATGTTGTACTACATGAGTAACAGAGACAACAGTAAGCAGGTGACAAGTTGTTTCAGTACAGCTGGTATTCGTAGCTGTTCAAAGTAATCTGATATCCATATGAGAGAAGGAGAAAAGTTGTGTTCTGTAAGTATATACATAAGTTCTTATAAATGACTGCCATCTATTTAAAATTAACGATTAACTGAGGAAAGAAATGTATGGGGTGGCTGTTGCAGGACTCTGTGCTTTGTCTCTTTGTAATGACATTTTATTTAAAATACTGTATTTTACAAGAGCTAATTGTTACAAAGGAGAAGCAAAGGCAGGAACTGCGACCAAAGGACCTATAAAACGGTCTGTTGCAATGTCCAGATTCTTCATACTTAGTCTTCCATTCTTCTGTACAAGCAAGCAGATTAGATGGTGTTTGATGTCTTTTGGGGCTCCACTCTTGCAGTTATACAATGGAGTTGATGTCTGTAAATGCTTCCTCTCCTGCTGCCACTATTTACTTTGGCTCGTGCATATCCCTTACAGTTTAATTTCCTGAAAATAAAAGGAAAAAAAATATAAGTTACATTAGCACGAAACCATTTTTTTTAGTGACTCCTTTTGTTGGAATAATGATAACAGTAAAGCGTACTGATTAAAGAATACCAATCTGTGCAACTCTAATGTATTAGTGAAATAAACCATGGTTTTAAATGTCATTAAAACTTAGATTAAGCAATTATTTTCTCAAAATTAAAAAATGTACATTAAAATGAGGACCAAGTCCTTCATGTACCTACACATAAATTCATTAAAAAATGGTAAATGGGGATTTAAAAGATTAAAATGTTAAGTGTAAGCAGAAGTATTCAGCTGCACAGTGAAAGGACTTGAGCAGTGTTTCATTCAGGTCTCATTTTCAGCTATGTAATCCAGCTTCAGATAGAGAGATAAGATAGAAATATTGACTCTAAACTGATATCTTTGCATGTCTCCAGATACTTAATTTTCCACAGTAATACCAGGAGATATAATATAAAATAAGACGTTTCTGACTTAGGAGAATTGAACAGTCTCCTGGTAATGCTACTAATGTAATTGCTAGTATAAGATGGGGCCAAGCTGCCTTTAAAATTCACTTTAACAAATATGAAAGCATGGTGGTGATACAGAGAAAGGAGTCAGCCATGGCTTATCAGACTAAGCAGCAGGAGTGATTTTCAGGTTTTGGGATCCCTGTCTCCTCCCGTGCCATCCACTGAATTTTGTCATGCTCCATCATATGAGAGGACATGACTCTAGTGCCTCATAGCCCCTTGTGTCAGGCTTAGATAAAGTGTAAAGGATGTGTTTAAATAAGATTTGGCAGTAAAGATGATAATATGAATGCACTTTGTAAAATTTACTGTGTAAATATATAAAGACTTTTACTTCAGAGTTTTAGAAAATTTTGTTTAGCTCCTCCTGTTGCCAAAGTCGCCTGCTGACTTCCATGGTGTGAGAGCAGGAACATTGCAAACTGAAATGCACACAAATACCACTCTAGTCTCCACAGCCCTCTTACTCGTATCACTCCACAGATTGAATGCAAAAAGCATTTGAAGGTGTTCCACATATAGATTATATACTGCAGGCCATCACGTGTTGCCTCAGAAAGCTCAGCAGCAGATCTGTGCCATACAGCAGCATGAAGAAGAAAGAGCCTGACATAAAAGTAAAAAGCATAAAAGAGAGCATTAATGAGCTAAATATGTGTCTTAACTTTGCTGTGGACAAGCACTCATTTTCTCTTGGCTTCCCTTCCAGAATAACCCACCTGATGTCAAGTAACTGGCACATGGAAATGGTTTACAGATGGATCAGCATCAGTGACTCTTGTAGCTGTATATGATTATCTGTCACACAGATGTTTCAGCTTGTATTTGCTTGCTAGAAGCCAGCCAAGCAGCCAGCCCTGCCTTTCTTGTCTTGCTTGAGGAGTGGAGAGGGCTCGCCCACAGATGTTCAACTAAGCGCCAGAGTCTACCCGAGCTGAATGCACGTAGTTAGCTTTAGTGCCTTCTTGGTCAGCATCATCCCCCCAGAAACAACTGGAAAAGATTTATGGGTTTGATCTGAGAAGTTTTCCAGGTGCTTAATAAAAGGAGGTACTCTGCATTACTTGCAGTAGTCAGGATTCCCCAGCTTAGAGCATGCCACCTGCAGTGTGCAGGATACATGTGATTTACCAGTTGCTACAGTAATGAAAAGGAATTTTTGGTTTGTTTCTTTTTAGTAAGCCATTAAACTCCCATTACACCCCAAAAATGAAGTTTTGCTATGACTGAAGCCTGTAGACTTCCACTGTGGAATTTGTTTCTTCACTGATGTGAGACGTATGCATCAGAGCGTCAACTGGAACTGCACAAACAGATCTTTCAACTCTTCTTGTTGACTTTGTGGGAGTTCCTGAATCCAGCTGTAGCTTCTTGATCATAGTTTACATGACAACCCTGCCCTTTGCTAGGGTGGCATTTTTCTGCATGCATTAGCAAGCAGAATGAAACTAGATGGTCCACAGTTTGAGACAAAAATAGCTATAGTGAAGCCATCCAGTAACTCAGCATATAGAACTAGCTGGAAGTTAGTTTGAAAGACTTGATAGTTACGAGGGGAGGCATATGGGAAGAGGAAAGTATGTAAGAGTAATAGTAAAAGGTGGCGATTTTTTTATCCCCTCTCAATGTATTTGACCTTGGTGATACAAATCAGTATTTGTTTGAAATCAAGTAGGCCAGCTGAATAAATGATAATTACTCACTTGACCCTGCAGATGCTTACTCACATGTCGGGTTTATGCCTCTTTCAAAAAAATGTTGGTGGTTTTTTTTTTTTTTTTTTTCAGATTTGTCTTTTTGGATTACGTTTGGGCTATTTTAGTAACACATTTGCTGCATCTTAAACAATAAAACATAAACTGCACTTGATTGCAACACACAGGCATCTGGCACCTCAGCAGAGCTTTACAATAGCAGTTAATGGTGTAAAACCAGTACTGTGTGGGTAGCTGTGTTATATCATCACTGCTGAAACAGGGATACCTGTATGGGCACGACAAAAGCTGTCGTCCTTCCAGTCATGGACAGACATGCTTGTAGTCTCACTGTGCCACAGCAGAGGTGACTGACAGCAGGTCTTTGTCACTGCTCCTTTGTCAACCTTTAGTGCCTTCATAGTAGGTGCATAAGAGAGAAGCTTATGTGAATATTCCCTAATTTTCTTGTAGAAAAATATTAACTGGATTAATAATTTTCTTATTTCTTAGAGTTCTTGTATTATTTCGTTTTGTGGAAAACGATGTGTAATATAGTTAAATAAACTTCTGCATTTATGTTTGCAGAGGATGAAGGGAGACTAATTTCTCTTGACTACCAGCTGTAACAGCGTAACAAATGTTCAATGTTTTCATTATTCTGCCTTATTTTTAGTTGGGTATTACCGTGTAGCACTCTACATACATGGTATTTTCTACTGCGGAATGACAAGGGACCTTTTGCTTAGAAACTTCGGTTCTTTATTTGCTGTTCATTAATATTTTGCTAATGCATAGTTATCTGGTTTTGCTGCAGCAGCTTTAATTTTGTTAGCACAAATCTAGCATTTCTCGATGTTTGGCACTGGTGAAAGGAGACAATAACTGTTCCCCCCTCCTTCTCTTTCCAGATGCTCTCTAAGTCCATTGAACAGCTCAAGCAGCCTGGCAGTCACCTGGAGGAAGCTGAAGAAGAGCTTCACGGAGATCCCTCGATGCAGGACGAGCGAGCTCCTGCCAGCAGTGCCAGCGTTAGGGCTGAGAGCAGCAGTGCTGGTGTGGATGACAGAATAGGACAGCAGGTGGGGGCTGTGAAAGTCAAAGAGGAGCCACCGGACAGTGATGAGGATGTTCAAACCCAGCAAATGGAATCTGGGGAGCAAGCTGCTTTTATGCAACAGGTAATAGGCAAAGATTTAGCTCCAGGATTTGTAATTAAGGTTATTATCTGAACATCACATGCGTTTTCTAGGCTTTGGTAAGCAGTTGTGTTTTGATTCACTCATCTAGCAAATCCTGATTTACTGCTCAAAGAATCTAACAAAGGCAGAAGTGTTGTATGCACACTTGAAAACATAGTGAAGCTCATCCTTATGGCCACTAATTGAGAAGATACCTGTTGCAGCCAATTACTCAAATCTTTGCGTAATAGCTGATAGACTTTGTATTAGCCCAGGGTTACATTACACTGCTTAGTTCTAGTGAAAGAGAACCCGTTATCACCTAGCTTGTTGAGATCAGCAATTACTGGAGTTAGTTTCCAGACCTGATTGATGAAACATTCTTCTCTGATTTTAAATCCTCTGACTTTTGCTTTCAGCTGTCTGTATATACTGTATGTATCATACTGTAGTCTTGAACACTGTTAACATTAGGGTATTTTTTCCCCAGTAGACAGGTACTGACTACTATATCAGTGGTCCCAGGCTGGTGTATAAAGTATAATTTAGAGAAGAATACAAGGTGGATGTAAAGAGGCAAGGCACTGTTTAAAAATTGCATTGTTTTATTTTTTGCACTGCTTAGTTAATTTTTCATTCTGTCTTATCTGGCGATACTGTCCGCAGAGACATCCTTAAATGCAGCAGATGCAAGGACTGGCGAGCAGCAAAACGCAGCATTAGGTTCCAATCGGTTATTAGGGTATTGCAGGAAAAGCACGGAACTGTTATCGTTATCATCTGATACCCCATCACTTGTTTATTTTCTTTTAAATAAAGACTAATCGTACGGTATCGCATAACCTTTGCCGCTAGATCTCATGGACAAATACTAAAATAACGACTGGGCATCGAATGCCAGCTCGGCAAGAGGCAGCCTCAGCGTTTTGCCCGAGCTGAAAAGCGCGGTGCAGGCGTGCAGCCAGCGAGCCGGCGGCCCTTTCCCTTGCTGTAGGACCAGGCAGAGCCAGGCTGGAGGCAGGGGAAGGCCCTGTTTATTTAAGTCAATGCTTTGTCAGGTCCCCGCTGTTCTCCTGCAGAAAAGTGATTTTGGGAGGGGGGGCAGGAAATGCCTTATGGAAACAGGAAGCCCAAGTGATTCATGTGCTGAGGAATGCGGGGGGGGGGGGGGGGGGGGGACGGGGCAGTGCTCCCTCTGTTTTTAAAGGCACTCTATGAATTGATTTATTGTCAAAGAAAATAACAAAGCGAGTAGGGAAATTGTTAAGGAAGCTTTCCAGTGAAACATTTCCTTCATATTCCCTTTTGATATGTTTACCTTGGTTTATAGGTTTACTTTTGTTAAGCTAGTTAAAGATTCATTGTATTGAGATCCCCTTTAATATGGATAATCCCAAACTGACCTGGAATCCTTGTCAGGTTTTTTTTCTATTAAAAATATTTATATTTATAAAGCTGAGGTATTTTAAGGTGCAGTATCCTGTTTCAAAAGAGATAGCTGTTTTGCCAAATGTAGAAATTGTTCTAAAATATGTTATTAGCATGTGTTGATTACATTATGCTCTAATACTATTAAATCTCTTATAAAATGTTGCAACTTCTAAAGATACATTATCCTTTTTCCTAGAAGGTCTCCAAACAAATAACTAAATAGTTGCTGTTAATATGAAAGGCTTCCTTAGATAGGAAAGATTTATTAATTGAGAAAAACACAGGTGATTTTTATATGAGTTTCATATTTGAACAGAAATCCTGCTCCATCCTGGATGAAAAAAATTACATTCACATCCAAAAAGTGAAGCATGCAGAAACGAAATTATATGTTTTTCCCATTCTGTATAATTTTGATTTTCTTCGCAATCTAACTTCAGCCTCATCAAAAAGGGATAGTGCATCTTTTAAAATACATTTTATTTGGGGAGAAACTTGCAAACGGGAAGACTTTTGTACAATATCACTTCAGAGAGATGTATTCACAAAAGACAAAAGATATTTTTATAATGTCATTCAGGTGAAAAACCCCAATACATTAGTGGACTTTCATTTCACAATCTTTCAAATTTGGATAAAATTAAAATAGAGAACTACCTGGAACCAGTGAAAAAGAAAACTGGGTTTAAACAACCACATTTCTAATTGATTATTGTCTCTTACATTTTAAATCTACTGTATTTATTATAATTTACACCCTTAGAGGTGATCTCTTGTTTTGTGTTGTAAATATATTCTGTTTGTATGTTCCCTTTTTTTGCCTTCTGATATAAGTCTCTTCCTTTCTCAAATAAAGTTTTTTTTTAAAAGATCCCCTTTCAGATATCTGACTTTGTGTAAATTTGATAACTTAGTTGTGCTTTTGCTTTGTATAACCAAATACGTTCACTACACGTTGTTGAAACAATTCAAGCTTTCAGGAGCAAGGTTTTTATTACACTATTCTTACAATAATTACACAAAGTCTTTTTTTGGTCTCTTGTTTTATCCTACGTCAGTCATTACAAGTTTTAGTGAATGTGGAATAGCATTGATGCATGCTCATTTTCCCATCGTGGCATCTGTCTTGAACATGTGATCATGTATTGTACCATCTAGGAAAGGTGAAGGCGAATCCCAGTTTCTTGGCTCCTAATTATATAAAATTCAGATGAACCAAAATAATTTCCATTACATTTCTAAAACCTGCTTAGAACCCCAAAAATGCCGACCTGGAACTGAGCTTTACTGATCTCTTTGGTATGCCTCGAGACCTTTGCAAAACTAGAGTCCACCTGTAAATATGATGGGGAGGAGGGAATCCATGAACTTTGCAGACATTAAAGCAATTGTGTGAGACAGTGAAGGCCTACTTTAGAGAAACACCTAAGCACTTCCATGAAGATGTTAAATGCTTTCTGACATTTCCTGAACTTTGCTTCAGATCTACAGAGGGAAATAGTTTGTACTGCATAATGATCCTGGTTGCTACAGTACCTGAATTATTACTATGGAAAAAGTTCAGAAAATTATTGCATTCTAGCTCTTCTAACTGTTCATTTAAATTGCAAAGGCTTTTAACAGCTTTGAGACTGGTATAAATTTAACTAAAATAAAACGTTTTCAACAACATAAGTACGTAAGAATAAATATTTCTGTAAATCAAATTCAATTATTTTCACTGATATAACAAGAAAATAATGTTTCATCAGTAATACACCCAAAAAAATTTGATAAAAAGTCAAGTTTTAGCTTAGGAAAGCTTAAAACTAACATTAGCAGTATAACATTATACTGCTTGCCCTACTGTTTATTATGTATTTAGAATCTTATGTCTGTAAATAAATCATGCTTTCAACAGGGATTTTATTGAGATGCCTTTTGTTTAAATACTCATGTTGGAATTAGAAAACCAAACATAAATGTTTTTAATTTGCAGCATTCCTGTTTTGGAGTCTACACCTAGATTTTTTTCTAAATTATTTGTTTACCATGCATCAAAGCACCCATCATGAAGAAAATAATCGTAATTTAATTTGCAAGCCTTATCTTTTTCCAGGAATGAGGTGCATCTCTCTCTTTTTTTTTTTTTTTTTTCCTCTTCTTTTTTGGAACAACAGATGTTTAGTCTGTCCTGTTGTCCAAAAAAATAAAGCCAAGTCAGTCTGCCAATTTAGAAGTAATTACTACTAAATGAGGGAAAATGCTTCATAATATTTACATACTCAAGACAGATACACATTACTGGAATGCAGATACTGTAACATCAGCCCTTTTTTCATCATCTGGCATTATCAAAATAGGATTAAAAGCAGGAGCACTCCAGACACTACCACCACTCATCCTTCCTATTCAGCAATTCATTTGTGCACTATCTTTGTTCCATCTTCATTATCATCAACATCACTAAGACTTAATCCATGTTATTTAAGCCAACTCTACCCTGTTTTTATCTTCACTGGCATTCTGAGGTAAAAAAATCTATAAACATTAGTCACAAGCACAAATCTAAAAATGTTTACTTATTTCTCCCCTTATGAACACTTCATAATTTGCAGCCAAAATTAGCTAAGCCAAGTTAATTTCCTTATTGTATTCTGTCCCACTACCAGCATGTCCTACTTATCCACTTAAGAAATGTTTGTTTGCTTTTCATTTATTTGTTTAGTTTCTGATTTCCTTATGCGGTTCCCATCATCTGGGTGGTAGTGTGGCTTCTGTACCTCCTTTCTCAGTGGAGGAATATAACTTAGAACATCATATGCTGAATTGCCGTTCAGGCAAACAGAAGAGCATCCTAGATAAAATTACATTCTCTCCACTAGAGCAATAATCCCAGTGACTTTTGTGGAATTTTACCGCTCTATTTGGTAGACTTCGTGATTTGTATTTGTTTTTTTCTCTTCTAACTCAGCCTCATTTGGAATTAGATTTAAAGGCAAAAAGTACAATTAGCTCAAACTACAGAGCAGGCAGAAAAGCGGAGTTTCTCAGCCGTGCTTGCTCACACACAGACAGGACTGGGAGGGGCATCCTTTAGGTGTGTCCTGGTTTCTGGTCCCCATCTGCTGAGCTCAAGTGTCCCACTCCTTTTGCTTATTTTGATTCTGGCCCCATATCTCATCTAGCCCATACAGGGTAACTTCCCCAGCTACCCGTGGGTGCGCACAGCTGTTGGAGACCCCCAAGGGTTATTTCATCAGCAGCTGAGAGTTAAAAAGGTACTAGATTAGTAACTAGAAATCATTCAGCAATGTCTGATGATGACTACACAGGCCTTAATCACTAGGGTTGTTTTGACAGACAAGATACTTACTTGTGAGTGATTCAGTGCCTTAATTATCCGATTAAATGAGATGTTTTGAATTGGGCTGTGGAGCCTTTCTTGTGTCTCTTTTACTTTACTTTCCATAGTTGCCTTGAAGTAACTGTATTGACTCTTAACAGTACATAGCTTTGAAATACAAGGGAGCTTGGTTGGAGGATACGCTGTTAAAAGTATCCTTCAGCACACTTGATCCTTCCAACGT